ACTGCGATTAAAAATATAGAGAACAGTGTACGTTTGAAGATGCGCCGAAGAGTGGCCGGAAATCCGGTCCTGTAAGTCCGGATATCGATGAAAAGATCAGGGATGCCTACAAACGAAAACCAGCGACTTCCGTTCGGGATGTTGCGAAAAAACTAGGGACCTCGTCGAGTAACGTCATGCGTGCCAAAGAAAGACTTGGGCTAAAAACATACCGGAAGCAGAAAAAAAAAACCCAAAACAGGCCGCGTCCGTGAAACCACAGGCCCGCAAACTCTACGAATCGTTATTGTGTCGAAATTCTGGGTGTATAATAATGGACGATGAAACGTACGTGAAACTAGATTACAAAACGCTTCCCGGACCACAATTCTATACTGTAAGCGAAGGCAAGGACATCCCCGAAACGAAGAAGGCAATTTTTACCGAAAAATTCGGTAAGAAGGTTATGGTTTGGCAGGCAATATGCGAGTGTGGTAAAACATCTAGTCCGTACATCACAACGGAGACGATGAACACTCAGAAATACGTTAAGGAATGTCTCCAGAAGCGATTGTTGCCGATGATCAGGCAGCACGAAGACACTTTAGAATGGTACAAAAGTCAAAATGTATGTTTCGTGCCGAAAGACATGAATCCGCCGAACTGCCCGGAGGCACGGCCAATCGAGACTTTTTGGGCTTTAACCAAAGCAAAGCTTCGAAAATTAATAAAACCAGCGGACGACATCTAAAAGTTCAAAACAGATTGGCCAAAAGTGATCAAAATGGTGGGAAGTACCACTGTGCAGAAGCTAATGGGTCATGGTCGAGGAAAAGTTAGGAGTCTTGGCTATGATTAAATATGTTGATTAAACGAGAGTAAAATATCATTTGAAATACAAATACAAATATGATTTGCCAAATAAAATTATTAAAACTTAAAACAACATGACTTTTTTGTTATTTTGAAAGTGTACTTATACTTTCTGGAACAGTCTATATACATGTGAAACTCTTGCAAATAAAATATATCTACATCCTGACCAGATTGAAAGTAAATGTATTCGGCAAAGTTTTTCAGGAAGCCAAGATCTTTTTGTTGGGTGACAATAGTTCAGATTTTTTTCACTATGTGGTGCTAGTTTATACGTGCCTTTCTCGCATACTCAATAGTTCGAGATCTTGATCACCTAGAAAGTTTCTGTCTTCGGCAAAGTTGTTTAGGGGGTCAAGACTTTTTGGCTGGTAAACAGTAGTTAAGAATTTTCTCACCACATGGCGTTAGCATACATGTACACTTCTCGCATATGCTATATCTCGAGATCTTGATCAGCTAGAAAGTTGCTGTCTACGACAAAGTTGTTCGGGAGGCCAAGGTCTTTTGGCTGGTGAACAGTAGTTCAGAATTTTCTCACAAAATCTAGGCTTTAACCTCCTGAACAACTTTGTTCAAGAGAGTAACTTTCTATCTGGTCAGGATCATGAGATATATCACAGGTGAGAATTTCACATGTCACTAACGCTACGTAGTGAGAAAATTTTGAACAACTGTCCACCAGCAAAAATTTTGTGATATCCTGAACAACTTTGCCGAAGACAGTAACTTTCTATCTGGTCAGGATCTCGAGATTTTCTATGTTGTATTCAATTAAGTCAAATCCCACGAAGTACGGATACCGTTTAACGGGTTTCCATTCACATTTTCTCTATTAAAGGGTGATACGGTCAAAATTTGGTCAATATCAACTCGACGTATTTCTTTCAATTTTGCATTTAAAAAACCTGAACACCCCTCATTTTGAAGGTGTGTGTGTGTAGAATGTTGCTCCTATTTTGATTTTGGAATTCACTCTTCAGTTGTCAAAATGCCGTCCAAGCAAGAAGAGCAGCGTATCAAAATTCGCTCGCGCATCGCGAAAATCCGAGCTACTCGCACGCAAAGTTGGCAAAATCGCTAAAAGTTGCCAAATCAACCGTTACAAATGTAATTAAAGTGTTTGGGGAACGTTTGTCGACAGCCAGGAAGTCTGGATCGGGGGGAAATCGAAAACCGGAAGCCGCTGAGACGACAAAGAGAGTTGCCGGTAGTTTCAAGCGAAACCCTAACCTCTCTCTCCGAGATACCGCAAATAAGCTGGGTGTATCGTCTACAACCGTGCATCGAGCCAAAAAACGAGCCGGACTATCGACTTACAAGAAGGTAGTGACTCCAAATCGCGATGATAAACAAAATACGACGGCCAAAGCGCGATCCCGGAGGCTGTACACGACGATGCTGACGAAGTTTGACTGCGTGGTAATGGACGACGAAACCTACGTCAAAGCCGACTACAAGCAGCTTCCGGGACAGGAGTTTTATACGGCAAAAGGAAGGGGAAAGGTAGCAGATGTTTTCAAGCACATGAAACTGTCAAAGTTCGCAAAGAAATATCTGGTTTGCCAAGCCATCTGTACCTGTGGCTTGAAAAGCAGCATTTTCATAGCTTCCGGGACTGTCAACCAAGAAATTTACGTGAAAGAGTGTTTGAATAAACGTCTGCTGCCTTTCCTGAAGAAACACGGTTGTTCCGTACTGTTTTGGCCGGATTTGGCATCTTGCCATTACGGTAAAAAGGCCATGGAGTGGTACGCCGCCAACAACGTGCAGGTGGTTCCCAAGGACAAGAACCCTCCCAACACGCCAGAGCTCCGCCCAATTGAGAAATACTGGGCTATTGTTAAGCGGAACCTAAAGAAGACCAAAAAAACTGCTAAGGGCGAGCAGCAGTTCAAGGCAAACTGGCTTTCTGCGGCGAAGAAGGTGGACAAGGTGGATGTACAAAATCAGATGGCAGGGGTCAAGCGTAAGGCCCGGCAATTCGGATTTGGAAAAGCGGAAGCCTAACTGAATATTTTTCCTGAATTTTATACTAATTGAACTTGAAAAATAAATTTAATTTGATTTTTTCAATAAACGATTTCACCGATTTACACGCGTTTTCCCTTGACCAAATTTTGACCGTATCACCCTTTATCCGCATTTTTTTGGGAGTTAACTGTGATAAAAGTTTAGCTTGTTTAGTTAAAAACAAGTTTTTTAAGAAATACCCGTTGGTTTCATATCGATTGGTAGCTCGGCTGCAAAATGGCAATGGAAAAGTCACACTGTTGTACAAAGTACAACTCGCAAGTACTCGTGTTACAAAAGTTGGCGAGAGTAACGGAGGGTTAAATATAAAATGTTTTGGACGTCTCAAATTCATCTAAGAATCCCAATATGTCTGTTCCCGTTGAGTTTTTTAAGACCGTTGAGCCTTACCAAACAAACGAATGAAAAAAACTCCTTCGCTTCCTGTAGCAATAAAAACACACCAAGCCTCTCCCGAAGCTTACCAGGTTCAATCGATGGGTTCTGAATCTGTCCCAAGGTTCTTCGTCCTCTGTTTTGAAGTTCTATTTCTTTTAATTCATTATTAAAGTCTACTGAAAGTGTGTTGCCGTCAAATGTAATTGGAGTCAAACTTCATAAGCCGATATATAAGTGCTTCCAAAACCAGAACTCTCATTTCCCAAGCCAGAACACTGCTGTGTATTAAGACATTCCTATCACGCTGTTCGAATATCATCCCCGGACGAATGTCCTAAAAACTGTTAATGTGCCAGCTTACAGATCGAAAATATTTGAACGATTTTAAGGTTCGTATGGTTTTTAAGATTTAGATCTTAGGAAAGTTGCATGATCCTTATCGAGGCCTCCCTTAGCTCAGTCGGTAAAGGCACAGCTACAAAGCAAGACCATGCTGGAGGTGGCTGGGTTCGATTACCGGTCCAGTCTAGGAGTTTTTCGGGTTGAAAAATTTCTCGACTTCCCTGGGGCATAAAGTATGATTGTATTTGCCACACAATTATACTAATGCAAAAATGGTACAGGCATCGAAAGCTCTCAATTAATAACTGTGGAAGTGCATCTAGAACACTAAGTTGAGAGCACGCAATAAGCTAATATGCGATATGCAATAATCTTGAAATGCGAGGAAGAAGAAAGAAGATGATCCTGAACTTGGTAGCATTTCCTAGGATTTCCAAAGACTAATTTATGGATGACTGACTGTCCTCATAGGGAAGGGGAGCGCGATGATTTTGAATCTCTTGTATGTTGTTCACGTGATTAGTGGACAGCATCTCCCACCGTTCCGTAAATCTCATTTCCAGATTTAATAATAAATATTATTATTATTTGAGCAAGTTGCACAAATTCGTAGGTGATAAAAGTCCTAGATCCATTGTTTGAGAGTCCGTTACAGTATTGATCGATATTTGGGATTGATCTCGGCCTCTTAGATGGTAATAGGACTATCTCCAACAATCGAGAACTGTCCTGGCCACGTCCTTGCAACTGCTGGAGGTGGGAAGGATTGTTGGTTGGACACTCACATATCAATGATGTTATGCAGCATGTACTAATTTCTAGTACAGGAAGTCATCCAGTATGCATCTTAAATCAACTATTGCATACTTCACGGCGTAAATCGAGCAATTGTGCTAAATAAACATTCAAATCAAAACTATCAACCATTAATTATATTATTACATAAAATTTAACCATGTATGGTGGGAGAACCAAGTGAAATACCATTCCAGTTCTTGGCTAAGAATTCCCATCCAGCAAGTATTCGAAAAGTAAAATTTAAATTCCGTTGGAAGAACTCCTCTCTGAAGTAAACAAAAATCACACACTTTGACAAATATATGTAAATTTAGATGCTCTGAGACTGACATATTTTTTATTTGATAAGGCTCAACCGAATTAACTTGACAGAGCCGATGATTCTTGTTCACTATACAATACATCTCCGTCGGCCCTCGTGACGGTGTCCACCCGCAGAATAGCAGCAAACAACCCAACAACAATGTGAGTAAAATTAAAACACTCTGTCAAACAAAAACTCCGTTTCCGAGGTTCTCCTTCTGAGACCTCCCCATGACAAAGAGATGAACTAGCCCATTGCTAAAAATCTCTTAAATAAAGATTTTAAAAAATACAATACATCTTAAAACTATAATCAAAAGGTACAACCCAATAAACATTTTATCTTCCGCTATCCAATAAGCCTCCTCCACCAGAACGTGAGCCGCTTCCAGTTGTTTCATTGTATGGCAGATTAGCCAACGGGGGTCAGAGCGCTTCCATTGCAGCAATGGACGCAAAACGTGGTCAGCACTCACACATTCATCACGAAACGGTTGCTTTAAAAAAGGCGACGACGCATCGACTGAAAGAACTGCTGATCAAGAACAATGGGGAGGACCACACAATGGTTGCTGCCGAGTAAACAGACGATCGCGTGACACACATTGAGAGTGGTCTGCTTCTGTCGACAACCGAGTGAACACTCGAGACTGACATATACGAGCGTAAATTTTGACATAAAATTGAGTCATAATAGACACGGAATTCAGTTCAATCAAACGTATTTTCGAACTTGTCAGTCCCGGAGCACTTAATTTTACATGACATGTTTGTTTACGTCTCATCCTTTATGTCAAAGATGGATTGCGTCACGTGTAAGATTAGGTGTGCAATCAGACAATTTTAAGACAATTAAACATGATGTCTTAATGTTTAAATGCCTTGTTTTGATATTCTAGAATATTCTTGATGAAGAACTCGAATGGTGTTTCACTTGGTTTTCCAACCATACATGGTTAAATTATATGTTACATCTTTAATGGTTCATAATTTTGATTTGCTCGATTTACGCCACGAAGTATGCAATAGTTGATTTATGATGCATGCTGGATGGTACGGTACTGGATGGCTTCCTGTTCTAGAAATTAGTACATGCTGGATGGCATGGTACTGGATAACTTCATTGACATGACACTCACTAAAGAGAGATGCAGAGAACAGTTCGACAGTGAGCATGCATAAGGGCCTATACGCAATGATCGATTCTCTTCGTCGATTTTCTCTTTTGTTAATAACTCGCTAGATTTAACGTTTCTCGGTGCGTTTGCTGTTGCTTTTGATAGAATACAACCTGTTACTACTCTGCATTAAACAAATTCTAGAAAATTGTTTCGCTTAGCTGTAGCAATGCAAAGAGAAAATCGATGAAGAGAATCGATCATCGCGTATTCGCCCTTATGTCACTGTCGAGTTCTTCTTCGCATTTCAAGCTTATTGCTTATCGCATTTTAGCTTATTGCGTGCTCTCAACTTAGTGTTCTAGATGCACTTCCACAGATATTAAATGAGAGCTTTCGATACCTGTACCATTTTTGCATTAGTAAAATTGTGTGGCAGGTACAACCATACTCTATGCCCAGGGAAGTCAAAAAAATTTCCACCCCGAAAAATTCCTAGACCGGACAGGGAATCGAACCCAGCCACCTCCAGCATGGTTTAGCTTTGAAGCTGCACCTTTTCCGACTGAGCCAAGGGAGGCTCTAACAACAGAGAACTATACGACCTCTCTCATAAGTCTCACGGGAGTTCGGAGGTTTGTTAGTGGGGAGGGTAAGGCCATGGGATACGTTTGGTAAACGTTGCTGGCAGAATTATAATAGCAATGGGCATCAGGGATAGTGAAAAATTGCAAGGAAGGGGGCGGGCCTGTGATTGAACTCCTGACCATCTGCTCAGTAAGCAGAAACGGTAACCATTAATGTACCAAGCCCGTCTTATTTTATTTGAGTCATTTTTTTCTTAATTTTGGACTCAGTAAAATTAATTCGAAATTCAAGACTATGAAATTTTATGGAATTTTCCTAAACACAGAAAATAAAAATAAGATTCATCCGAGATTATCACGATTTTTCTGTTATAGCAAACATTAAATTATATTTTTGAGCATGGAAAACTTTCATGCTCTTAGTTTTGTAAAATTGTCCCCTGTTACAATTTTGAAAAAAGACATGCTTTTAAAATTTTCATATCTCTGGTAAAGGAACATTTTCCAAACACAAACTTATCTACTAAGATTATGTTCAGATTTCCCGGTTTTTTTCAAAGGATTTCAGAAGAGAATCACAGGGAAATTCCTATAAGATTTTTTAACAAATGAAGACTCTACGAGAATTTGAGATTTTTTTTTATTTGGTGACAATTTAAAGGGAATCTCAAGAGGAAGCTTTCAGACTGTCAGGCTAAATTTCAAGAGAATTTCCCGAAAAAAATAAACGAATTACTAAATACCTAGTTCTTTTTAAATTTTCAAGACAATTCTGAGACGAATTCCAAGCAAATTGGGCTCTTTAGGGGTCTTGAGGTTATTACATATTCGTAATTTGCATTTGCAAATTCGTAATAAAACTGAAATCGAAAATTTCGTCAATTTTGGAGCACCGGAACTATTTTAAATAAATATGTGTACATTAGCAATAATCACCATCCTAGCGCCCCTCGGTGAGACTTTGTATGGAAACGAGCTGTTAATTTGTTACTTTACTGTCAAAAAGTGGAGTTAATATTATGCTTTAAATCTTGATTTAAAAATCGAGATGAAAGCCTGGATTCGAAAAAAATATCGTTGTGTTCAGAAAACGAAGCTCTTTCAGATGATGTATAGTAACCGACATATGTTTCAAAATTAAAGAACCCTAAGGAATGTTTCAAATATCCACTTCCAACGGGTAGTTTTTACAGGGCTGTTATAAGATTTTCAAAATTAGATCCGCAAAATCCACGATTTCTCAAAAGAAATCAGCGACTACAAATATTAATCCACCACAAATAAAAAAAACTGTTTTAATTGCTTAAAAATACTATTCGCATTACTACTACAAGGCATTTCAAACTTATTGCTTATATTGTATTAGATTTTTTCCTGCTCTCAACTTAGTGGTCTTTGAAGCACTTCCACATTTTAGTTGATAGCTTTCTATGCCTATACCAAAGAAGTAGAAAAATAGTCCAACCCGAAAAATTAATAGACTGGATGGGAATTCAACCCAGCCGCCTCCAGCATGGACTCGCTTCGTAGCTGCGCCTTTACCGACTGAGCTAAGGGAGTATTGTTTGTACCCCTTGCAAAAAAAATGTGTCTTATTCAGTTATGTATGTGGTAGTATAAATTCGGAGTAAGCTGTGATCTTAATAAAACACCCTTATATCATGACATTCTATTGAATAAAACCGGCCTAGATTTTCTGAAACATTATTTTAAAGCATTAATGCATTTTCATTTGAAATACAAATTATCTAGAAAATTAACCTTTGCGTCCCTGATGTATTTAGCTGTCCTAAATGTTGTTATTAATTTGGCTCTAATTTTCTCATTTTTTCCGATTCAAACCCAGGGTACTTGGTATATTTGAGAAGCTAGCAGATTTCCATAAGTCACATTTTATGGTCACGACGAATTAACTGGATTTACACGGATATTCCAATGGTCTTGCGAGACAATTTCATGATATTTGTTTTATTTCTAATATGAACAAAGCATTTTTCGTTGCCAAATCATGACCGAGTCGTATATATGTGACTTATAACCATGTATGCCGGAAATTCTAGGTTCATCTAATCGTGCCGGACATCAGTTGATTTGTTCTCCTAGATCAATCAAGACTGCAGTAATGTCTGTAGTATCGATATATGTCCAATCAGATTTAAAGTGTCAATGTGGATCATGCATGACCTATTGTCGAGTATTACAGATGTTCCAGGTTCTCCAAATCATCCTGGAGTTCAGATAATTTGATCTACTAGATCAACCGAGACTGGGACAATGCTGGTAGTATCGAAATACTTTCAGGCAGATTCACAATGACTATGTGGATCATGCGTGACCTATTGTCATGTATACTAGATGCTCAAGGTTCTCAAAATTGTCCTGAAGTTTAGATTTATTCTACTAGACCAACTATGACTGGGATAATGTCTGTAGTATTGAAATATGTTCAAACAGATTCATAGTGTCTATGTAGATAATGCGCAATTTATTTCCTTGTACACCAGATGTTCTAGGTTCTCCGAATCGTCCTACAGTTCAGATCTACAAAGACTGGGATAATATCTGCAGTATCAAAATAACGATTTGGAATTCCAAGAACATCTGACATACACGGAAATAGGTTTGCATGATCCACATAGACACTGCAAATCTGTTTGAATATATTTTGCTACTACCAATATTGAATTAGTCTTGGATGATCTAGTAGAAAAAATAATCAGATCTCCAGAATGATTTCAGAACCTATAACATCTTGTATACGTAGCAATAGGTCGGGCATGAACCACATAGCCATTATGAATCTATTTGGACATATTTAAACACTACAGACATTATTGCAGTCTTGGTTGATCTAGTAGAACAAATCAACTGAACTCTAGGACGATTTGGAGAACCTAGAATATCCAGGATACATTGCAATTAGTCGCATATATACGATTTGTTTTTAATTGTTCAACGACAAATGCTATATTCATATTGGAAATAAATAAAAAATCACGAAAATGTCTCACATTGGACAGACCCCAAGGAATTTCCGGGTAAATCCGGTGTGACTTATGGAACTGTACTGCCTATAATCCCATATCAGTCCCATATGGAAAAAGTAGGCATTGAGAAAATGGCAGTCGCAGTTACGAAGTGCAATTTCCGTGTAAATATTTGATAAATAATAGTAAATGAATTGATATTTTTTTCAAGTTAAAATATGTTGCAATGGAGCTTGCATGTTTTGTTATACCAGCGAAAAATATGCCAATTCAAAAATCAGACCTTTAACTTGAACTATAGGCGATTGAATTTCAGGATGGGACTGATATGCGATTATTATGCTTGATGGGACAAACTGACCTGATGTTGTTTTCACATTTTTCATGATCAAAGTCCATAGTTGTATCACATAATAAGAAAGTAGATGCCAATTGATAGTGGATAGGGTTGTTGTCTCAAAATTGACGAAACTCCATATGGGACTGATATGCGATTATAGGCAGTGTAGTTTCCCGATTATTTACAGGGCGTTTGGTTTGAATCGGGAAAAAATAGAGAAATCTATGAATAACAAAATTTATGACAGCAAAATAATCCGCAATTTTTTGGAGAACACAGCAGTTCCTTCGCGATTTTTGCGACATCATTCAATGCTTCCGTGATTTT